GGCACCTTCATAATTCATTGATTTACACTTCTCAGATTACTGCTCTCCTACTTATTTATTTATTTATTGCCTATTACTTCCTTGACCATTATTGTCCCTATTATGTGCCTATTGATTGTTGTATATTAAGAAACTGAAAGAAGCAAATTGTAAACAGGTTGCACGGAGATGCTTCCAGTCTAAGACGAATGCATCTTCTTTTGGTTGGGTTTATTGCGGGTCACATAATTTTAGTGCTGCTGCCTGGGGACGACTAATTTCCAATCCACTCAGTTTGAAATCAAAGGAAACTGGGAAAACCAACACTTATTTGAGTTCAAGGCTTCATGTTTCTAATTATGAACTTGGAATCATTTTCACCTTCCCTCCAACAGAGACAAAGGGTATCACAAACAAAGATTGTACAAACTTGGATGATATTGTTTTGCCATTTGCTGTGCCAGCTCCCAAGTATGGACCGGCAGATCGACCAGCAACAGCAAGAGCTATGAGCGAGGCGGTAGCTGAACTTGCTGGGCTAGAGAGAGACAGACTCATAGCTGAAGAAATGATAGAAGAGATTCCTGATGAAGAGGAGGAAGCTGTCGAGGCAACTGATTACGCTGCAGTGGAGAAGGAAGAGGAGAAAGCTTATGCTGAGATGCTATGGAACCAAGTCGATTCATCTCAAAGGTTTTGATCTTCAATTCAAATGCAAAACGATTTTCACCAACATGAGCAGAATTTAGTAAATTTAAGTGATATGTAGTGACTTGAGATATTCATTCAGGTTCCCATTAAGTCATCCAAAACTGTTAATAGTAGACAGAAAATAGAAATTTGTTGCATAGAAATTTTAGAAACAATGTAGAGAGTGGCTAATGGAGTTGAGTATAGTGCTGGACCAGCCAATTCACATATGCAACAGAGTGGTGAGTGTATAGGTTAGTTTTAATCAGGAATTTGTCAAGAATGATCAGAGGTGAGTCATTCCATATGCTTCCTTGTATTTGTTAATCATTTGTAATTTTTTCTTCTAATAAAAAAGATATTTTCCCAAGGGCAAAATTACTTCTTGGTAAATATTGTTAGACATACGGGCTACTCTCTGCATTTCGCCTTCAAGCAAGAATCAATTTGGATTTGCCTCATCGAGTAAAATTCTTGTGAATTTCCCCATTCCTTGTTTTTTACCAGACTTTGAAATGTGGGTTTAGTTTTGAGCCGTGAGTTGGCTTGAAACTTAGCCATAGCCAGGTTAAAAACAAATATTTGAGATGGATTTGATTAAACTTGGTTGACCTATTAGATTAATTTTATTTATTTTATTTTATTTCTGTTAATCAATTCTAATTAAAATTTGATTTTTTTTTTTAATTTCCAAAACAATATTATTTTAAATCTTTATAAAAAAATTAAAAAATAATATTTTTTATTTTAATTGATTATATCAATCCAAGCTCAACCTGCTTACTCAAGTTTTATATCGCATCTTGGGTTTATTAATTTTGAACTTGCCCAACCTACTTACTCAAGTTTTGCATCGTACCTTAGGTTTAATAATTTTGGTTTTTTGTGATATTTGGTCCGAGAAAGTTATCACGCCCTATCAAGTTTTGAAAGTTAGGTCCAAGAATGCTCCTGGCCCTCTCAAAAGGAGCACCATGCTACGCCAGCATCCTCGAAAGCTAGTGTAACAAACCCCTCTAGTGTAACAAACCGAAGGAATGCACCGGTTGGGATCGCTACTATCTCATAAACCTCTCTTAAACCCTCGAGCTCCTCCATACTCACTCATCTCATCCTCCACTTTTAGCTACTCTCCTAATTCCATAGAAATCTTCTATGACCATCTCTTAAAATCCTGTAATGGGTCATCCTCTCTCAAACAAATTCACTCAGCTCTCACAACCACTGGCCTTATCACTACAAGCCCTCATTTGGGTGGTCAGATTATCATCAAATATGCAAAATTTGATGACCTTAATAGAGCAAGATTACTTTTTGATAACATTAATGTATGTTATGATAAACCCACTTCTTTCCTTTGTAATACTATGATTAGGGCATATGCAAATGTTGGTCAATGTTTTGAAACATTAAAGTTATATTCTTTCATGCGTAAGACTGGCACTTTTGTGAATAATTACACTTACCCTTTCGTGTTCAAAGCTTGTGCCTTGAATTTGTTGGTTCGTGAAGGGAAAGTTGTTCATGGAGATGCTTTAAAAAATGGGTTCGGTTCGGATTTGTATGTTGAGGCTGGTTTGGTTGACATGTACGCAAAATGTGGCCTTTTTGTTGATTGTCGCAAGATTTTCGACGAAATGTCTACGAAGGATTTAGTTTGCTGGACAGCAATGATAACTGCTTATGAGCAGGCTGAGAAGCCTGAGGAGGCTCTCATTTTGTTCAAAAAGATGCAGCAAGAAGAGGGTCTTCTAGCAGATTCGATTGCTGTAGTGAGTGTTGCATCTGCTGTTGGTCAATTAGGAGATGTTAGGAACGCTCACACAGTGCATGGTTATGCCTTTCGTAAATCGTTGATTGAGGAATTATGTGTTGGTAACTCAATTTTAACTATGCATAACAAATGCGGGAATACAGAAAAGGCACGTTTGGTTTTTGATATGATGATGGAAAGAGATGCTATCTCATGGAATTCTATGCTTTCTGGTTATACTCAAAATGGGCAAGCCACTGAAGCTCTGTTGCTGTTTGATGAGATGCGTGATTCTGATTGTCAGCCTACTCCTGTTACGGCATTGATCATGGTTTCAGCTTGTGCTTATTTGGGTTTTCGACATCTTGGAAGGAAATTCCATGATTTTATCGTCGATAGCAGAATGGAAATTGACACAAATCTTTCAAATGCTCTGATGGACATGTATGCCAAGTGTGGGGACTTGGAAAAGGCGGTGGATTTGTTCAATGGTATTCCTCCCACTGAACGGAATGCTGGTTCTTGGAATGTATTGATTTCAGGGTATGGCATGCATGGACATGGTAAAGAAGCACTAGAACTCTTTTCAAGAATGCAGGAGGAAGGTGTCGAGCCAAACCATTTCACTTTCACTTCAATTCTTTCTGCTTGCAGCCATGCAGGCCTCATTGATGAAGGTAGGAAATGTTTTGCAGAAATGAGGAGGCTATCTGTGACACTGGAGGATAAACACCATGCTTGTGTGATTGATATGCTTGGCCGAGCTGGGCTCTTTCAGGAAGCATTTGATCTGATTAAGGAAATGCCATCACCTCCGAGTGATGGAGTATGGGGTGCTCTACTGCTAGCTTGCAAAATCCATGGGAACATGGAATTGGGGAAAACTGCAGCCAGTAATCTACTCCAGCTTGAGCCAAACCATACAGGATACTATGTGCTAATGTCTAACATATATGCAGCATCAAACAAATGGAAAGAAGTTTGGAAGTTGAGGGAAGATATGAAGAATAAAGGATTAAAGAAACCTGCAGCCTTTAGTATGATCGAGTATGGTGAAGATATTCTTGGGTTCCACACAGCTGACCAAGAAAATCCATATAGGCACGAAGTTTACAAAAAAATGGAAAGCCTAGCAATCGAGATGAAGATGGCTGGGTATGTACCGGACCTATCATGTGCTCTACATGATGTCGAAGAGGAAGACAAGGAGCGCATGTTAAACTATCACAGCGAGAAGCTAGCTGTAGCTTTTGGTATTCTGAAGATAGACCCTGGAATGGTAATTCGAGTAACAAAAAATCTTCGTGTTTGCAATGACTGTCATTCAGCGTTTAAGTATATTTCACACATTTATCAACGAAAGATCATTGTCAGAGATGCAAATCGGTTCCATCACTTCCAGGGAGGTACCTGCTCATGTAAGGACTACTGGTGAACAGTGGATTATGAAACCTTACTACCCCCAGTTATTGGAACTAGAAGCCGACTCTGGAAGTGTTTTGGCAAGACTCCTAATTTTTTGCTACAGAATGAACACGGAGAGTAAGACAACCGAAGGATAGAATCTCATTCCAACAAACATTGAAGATTCGTTTCAAAAGATGGCCGTCTGGTTCCTGATCATTCAGTGTATAAAGTAATTTGGAAGACTGTTGTCCTTTAACAGCTTGTTATCAAAGCCTTTGTTCTTGAATAATAAATAAAGGTAGTGGTTAACAGAATTTTTGCACATGCTTCGCCATCAAATGGCATGTGTAACCGCTACCGAAGCTTGGACAGGCAAATGATTTTTCTTTTTTTTCCAATTATTGCAGACTTCACTTTGATTATGATACCCTCTTTAATTGCTTTTCCAAATCAATTGAATTTTCTCCTCCTCGGGTTTGAACTTGCCCCACTTGGAGAAAGTTCCATTTCGAAGAAATTTCCTCTGCTTTCTGCCACACATGTGAACCATATGGATAATTTATTCAAGAATACCAGGTTTATTCTCAATTTTGTTAATAAAAATTAAATCTTTTTCCTTAAAATAATGTTTGAAGCATATTTATTTTATCAGTTTAATATATTTTAAAAAGGTAAATTCACTGACTGTGTTCTCAATATTCAAACTTAAATAATAATAATAAAAAAAAGGAGAAGAAGAAGAATATAAGTTTTTATCATAAAATAATATTTTAAAATTGATTAAAAACTATCCTTAAATTTATTTTCATTAAAATTATTAAACCTAATCTAAGATAGATTCAGATTACAAATTGAACAGATTTTTTTAAATTAAAATTATTTTATAATGATTTTTTTTTTATAAAATATTAAAATTAAATTTAATCTGTTAAACTCTCACGTAATTAATTTAAAATATCAAAATCACTAAGTTAGTAGATTGATTTATTATGGCATGTAAAGTTTAATAACATATATTTTTACACGAACTGATGACTCTAGAGCTACAATCTACTTGTAAAGTCAATATCATAAAAATTAACCAGTAAAATCTAATGTCTTCTTCTCTTGACTGCTTCAGAAAATGAAAAAACTTCTCATTGATAAAAAGATTTCCCCAAAGTCAACCGACAAGTTGCTGTATACCTAAGCAGATACATGTACCAAACTGTCTTTCTCAGACACAAAAGGGGATTGAAATTGACACCATCGATCGAAACTGGTTCATGGCCCTCTCAATATCTATGCTTCCGTGGGCAACCGGGGGGTTTGGCACTGGCTAACTTTCATTTACTATCATCGAGCAAGGTAAAGTAGACCTTTTGACATAAGAAAACAGTACTCTGTTCAACAATAGAAATCAAAAAGAAAAAACGTGAAAGGTGGGCTATGGTGGCTTGACGTGTCAACCAACCCTTCCTTCCTTCAAATTCCCTTTCTATTTCCATTCGTTCCTTTCTCCATTCTCTCTTCCATGCTCTCTTTTGTCTCTTCAATCAAGATTTAACAGATACCATAGTTGAAAAAGAAGCTCCTTCTTGTCTGGGCTCAGTCAAGATATTGTATTTATTGTCACCAAAAACCTCAAACAGAAGCTGTTAAGCAGTCAATCAAGAAATCATTTCTTGAGACCTGAAAAAATGGAAGTGTTACTGTCTTCATCATCTCCTTTATCAGTTCATTCAAGATTGGATTTTTATTCACTTCGAAAACCAAAAGATTCTAGCTTCATCTTTCACTCTAACAACTATAACACAATATCTTCTCCTTTTTCTTCTTGTTTTGGTATTTCAATCTCACAAAAACACCAAAACAGGAAGACCCTTTTGTTAAAACGTTTTAATTCCAGCAAAAAACGAAGAATTCTTCAAGTTTCGGCTGTTTTTGAGAGGTTTACAGAGAGAGCAGTAAAAGCTGTGGTTTTTTCTCAGAGAGAAGCAAGAGCTTTAGGCAAAGATATGGTTTTTACGCAGCATCTTTTGTTGGGTTTAATTATTGAAGATCGTGATCCAAATGGATTTCTTGGGTCAGGAATCAAGGTTGATAAAGCTCGTGAAGTTGTTAAAAGTATTTGGCAGAGGGAGAGTGATGGTGCTGAAGCTAGTGAGTTAGTTTCTAAAGGCGAGAGAGGTGTTTCCCACAGTGACGTGCCCTTTTCTGCTAGTACTAAGAGGGTTTTTGAGGCTGCTATTGAGTATTCAAGGACCATGGGTCATAATTTTATTGCGCCAGAACATATAGCCATTGGTTTGTTCACAGTTGATGATGGAAATGCAGGCCGGGTTCTTAACAGGTAGCTGTTCTAATTGTGAAGGTCTTTCCATTTCTGTACATTTATTGGAGGGTTAGTTTTTTTTTTTTACTGTCAATGAATATTCTTTGTTGATTGGTTGAAGTCATAATTGAATTCAGTGATTGGCTAACTTGTTTTCTTAAACTTGACTTGATTAAGCTGATGTATAATCTTAGAAAGCAATGCTGAAGAAGCTAAACTTGACTTAATTACGAGAAAATGTTGTTGGATATGAACATATTGGCTTTATTATGTTTTAATGATGTCAAGTGCCTGCATTGATGAACATTAGTTGGTTTTCTTGGTGGGCATAATTGAATGTGATTTCAGATTGGGGGTAGATGGTGATGGCTTAGCTGCTATAGCAATAACCAAACTTCAAGGGGAGCTTGTGAAAGATGGAAGAGAACCATCTGTGGAATCAAAAGGCGAACATGGGAAATCTGTTTCCAAGAGAGCTGCTGCTTTAAGATCCTATGAGAAAACAAGAGGTAAGAATTTTGGTCTCTTAGAATAATTTTGTAATTTTTTTTATTGCTATAACTGATGCATTGAGCGGAATGGTTTACAATTTGTTTATGTTTGCCAGAGAAAAGTGCATTGGCCCAATTTTGTGTGGATCTTACTGCCCGTGCAAGTGAAGGACGCATTGATCCGGTTATTGGGCGACACTCTGAAATTGAAAGAATTGTCCAGATACTTTGCCGCAGAACAAAAAATAACCCCATCCTTCTTGGTGAAAGTGGAGTTGGAAAGACAGCCATTGCCAAAGGATTAGCTATTAAAATTGCACAGGCTGACATTCCTGTGTTTCTTTTGGTATCTTTCTTCTGATCTAATTGTTGTTCGTATGGTTCTTTTAATGGTGTACTTACTTCCAGACATTTTTTTTTCTTATGACAAGAAAGCTTTGTTTTGCAAACCTACTTAGCTTCTTGTTTTATGCACAGGAAAAGCGTGTAATGTCCTTGGATGTTGGCCTCTTAATTGCTGGTGCAAAGGAAAGGGGAGAACTAGAGGCACGTGTTACTACATTAATAAGAGAGATTCAGAAAGAAGGTGGCTCCATTTTGAATTACATATAGGAAGAGAGCGATGCTATTGTTGCTCAGACATGATATGTGTGCTTGCAGGTGATGTCATTCTTTTTATTGATGAAGTGCATACGCTTGTTGGGACTGGCACTGTTGGACGAGGAAACAAGGGATCTGGCCTTGACATTGCCAATTTATTGAAGCCATCTCTTGGGAGGGGTGAATTACAGGTGATGTCTCATATTATATGATTATGTGAATGCATACCTAATATCTGAACATACCATGGAAATGTTTGTGCTAGATGCTAAATTTCTCCTATAAAAGTTTCAAGGAGTGATTTGAAACAAGCAGAATATGCTAAAATGGATAGACGAAGGCAGTAGAGTGGCATGCGGGTAAAAATTTTAAACATTGCCCAGGGAAATTGTTGAGCACTGATCAGAAAGGGGATTTATTTACCTGAAAGTCATACATTTAAAGGTTTTATTTAGTTTAGTAAAATGATCTAGCAGGCAAATCATTATTGTCAATGCTCCTTATTACAAGATGAGTTTAAGCATTATTAACTCTCCTGAGTTTCCTTGTCTCTTACAGTCCTAGCTTTTCCTGGTAAACACTGTAATTATCTGGCAAATGTCTCCATTATTTATTCTAGAGTCGGTAATGAGGACGGGGATGGCTCCTAACCTATTAGAAGTCCTTCATTTTTCAAGTGCATGTATCGACTTCTTTTAGTTCATTTTAGTGTCATTTGACTCATTTCAGTTTATCCTCCCCTTTTGTGTTTTGTGGTCTTGGGTCCATAAGATGGAACAACTTACCTTCGCTGTATATTTTGTTGTTTGAGTCAATTGCTCAAGCTGAGCAAACAGACAGCATATAGGAAGCTCTTTCTATGTCTAAACATTGCTCTCTTTGATTTTCTGTTCTCAGAGGAAATTTACTTGTATCCTTCATTTCTGAACCATATATGCATTTCTTGCAGTGTATTGCGTCCACAACACTTGATGAATACAGAACACATTTTGAAATTGATAAAGCATTAGCAAGGAGATTCCAGCCTGTTTTGATTAATGAGCCAAGCCAGGTTGGCTTCAAATATGTACTGTCATTTATTTTTATGAAAGATGTTTTTTGTTTTCCATGTCTTGTTTGAAATTCATATAAAAATATGTAGGAGGATGCAATTAGGATATTGTTGGGTCTGCGTCAAAGATATGAGGCCCATCACAACTGCAGATTCACACTGGAAGCCATAAATGCTGCAGTGCACCTTTCAGCAAGGTATATTGCTGACAGGTATCTTCCAGATAAAGCAATTGATCTCATTGATGAGGCAGGAAGTAGAGCTCGTATCGAGGCCTATAGAAGGAAGAAAGAACAGCGAACCTTTATACTTTTGAAGACACCAGATGATTATTGGCTAGAAATTAGAACTGTTCAGGCTATGCATGAAGTGGTAATAATATTGTTCATATGGTTACCATGGTACACTTACATAATTCTAGCTCTGTTGATAACACTGCCAGTAGTCTTATATCTAAGACAACTATATCAACAGGTTCTAGCAAGTAGATTGGCAAATGATTGCAGTTTATCCAGCATGGATGGCAGTGGAGAAATCACTATAGAATCTTCTTTACCTCCCGCATCAAATGATGATGAGTATGTTGTTTTCCTCTAAAGTTCTTCTGTAGGGATAAAAGCAGCAGGCCTGCATTTTATCAAGCACTCACTCCTGATTTAACTGAATTTTTAGCTGTGATTCTTTCAGACCTGCTGTGGTGGGGCCTGATGATATAGCAGCCGTTGCTTCCCTCTGGTCAGGTATACCAGTTCAGCAGCTGACTGCTGATGAAAGAAAGTTTCTGGTGGGCCTTGAAGAGGAGCTCAGGAAACGAGTGATTGGTCAAGATGAGGCTGTTGCTGCAATATCTCGAGCTGTTAAGAGATCCCGTGTTGGCTTGAAGGATCCTGATAGGCCCATAGCAGCAATGCTGTTTTGCGGCCCAACTGGGGTCGGCAAGACTGAACTAACAAAAGCTTTGGCTCGAAATTATTTTGGATCCGTAAGGCCTCAAACTATATTACACAAGATGTTTTGGTTATTCTTTATACAATTTGACTATTTTGACACAACAACAATGCAGGGTTTCTCTGCTATAAACAGTTGAAAGAAAGTAGCATGTTATCTGGGTTTCTCTGCTATAAACAGTTGAAAGAAAGTAGCATGTTATCTAAAATATTAAGGCTCCTAGATATTAACTATAGCATATAAGAAATCAAACTTTGCTGGCTTGTTAAGTAGTGACTAGAGTCGATAACAAATGCAATGGACAAAAGTAAATCTGAATATTTTGGGGAATTGTATGTTGCTTGGGGGTAAATTGACTACTCTGACATGATTACTGTCTTTTAAAGAGTGATCTTGAATCCTGATTTCTTAGGTTCAAAATTCTGATTCGCCTCTGCTTCTTGCCTAACATTATTGTTGCAGGAGTCAGCCATGCTTAGATTAGATATGAGTGAGTATATGGAACGACACACTGTGAGCAAGTTAATAGGAGCTCCTCCAGGTTATGTTGGTTATGGCAAGGGGGGCATTCTGACAGAATCTATTAGAAAACAGCCTTTCACTGTTGTTTTGCTTGATGAAATAGAGAAAGCCCATCCAGATATATTCAACATTCTGCTTCAATTATTTGAAGATGGCCATCTTACAGATTCTCAGGTTGGTACTAAATGTAACACGTTTGTCTCACATTTTCAAAAATTTCATTTTGATAAAGAGGTTGGCATCGCTATTTATCTTGATTGTGAAACAAGACAAAATATAGTTTCATCAATTAAAGACTTCACATTAGCCTAATTTTCTGCTCATTTTTTTCTTAGTCGGTACCTCTATTGAGTCGCTTATCATAGAGAGATTGGGTTTTACAGGGAAGGAGAGTATCTTTTAAGAATGCATTGGTAGTAATGACATCAAATGTTGGTTCTGCTGCCATTGCAAAGGGTGGACGAGCCTCCATTGGTTTCATGATTGAAGATGATGAGAATTCTTCATATGCTGCAATGCAATCATTGATAATGGAAGAACTCAAGGGATATTTTCGTCCAGAGTTGCTCAACAGAATAGACGAAGTTGTGGTATTCCATCCCCTTGAAAAGGCTCAGGTTTGTCAACCTTTTTTTTATCCCTTCTCTTTTCCCCATGAACACCAGTGACTATAGCGGTTGGAAGGCTTCAGCCATGTTTTATTAGATAAGGAGGCCCTGACTTGTATCCTCGGTGACTTCTTACAAGCCCTTGATCTCTTTCTTCTTTTCTTCGTTCCTCTTTGGTGCATGTGTGATCATGCTTGTACTCGGTTTTTACAAGTTATTAACGAAATTAAACTTAAAAAATATTTCTTACATCATCCTTGTATTTCAGATGCTCCAGATTTTGAATCTTATGCTGCAAGAGGTGAAAGAAAGGCTGATATCTCTTGGAATTGGGTTAGAGGTGTCAGAGTCGATCAAAGATCTTATATGCCAGCAAGGCTATGACAAATTTTACGGCGCCCGGCCACTTAGGAGAGCAGTTACTCAAGTAATCGAAAACCCCTTGAGTGAAGCATTCCTTGCAGGACAGTATAAGCCTGGTGACACAGCTTTCATTGATCTGGATGCTTCAGGCAACCCGGTTGTCTCAAATTTGTCAGATAGGAGCATGCACTTGTCTGATACATCATCACCCTCCTAGTAACTTGGTATATAGTCTAATTTCATATGATAGTATATAAGCTTTGTACATATTCTATAAGTTTTGTATGGTTACTACAGGTGATTATTCGATTCAACTGTAAATAAGTGAAGCATTATGATTATTCTTTAAATCCATTATCAGAAAATAATTACCTCCTTTATTTGTCATTACCCATCACAAGCAACCTATTCTTTCTTACGAATTAATCGCTATCTATACAGCTTTTGGTTTTGAATGAAACAGAAATGTAGATGCACATGCAATGCATTCATGTGAATATTTCTTAAGAGTAATGCACGCAATGCATATAGTTTGATGAGCACTTTTTGGTATTTATATCCTACTTGTTTTTGCAGTTGGAAAGTTGGAAAGTGTTTATCAAAAATTAATTTTTTTTATATTTTTAAATTGTTTTGATGCGTTAATATTAAAACTATTTTAAAACAAAAAATATTTTAAGAAATAATTATTTTCTTTATTAGTTTTAGTTTTTTTTGTAAATTTGGACTCTTGCATGTTTTAATTCTGCCTATTTCAAATAAAACGGAGGTAAACTTTGTTTTGGCTAGTGAAATGACCAAAAAATTTTTGGATATAAAGCTTCAGCTAGGCTGGGATTTCAGTTAAACCAGATAAGATATAGTTCTGGTGACATCTAGTCGGTTGATTTAACTAGTCAAACCTTATTCCCGGGATTGTTATTGAGCCAAGTTCATCATCGACGGTGCAGAGCTCGACTGTTTGTGCAGCCGATGGAGGGTTTGTTATTTGTACAACAGGCACGCAGATCTTACTGCTGTGATATTCTAAGACATTGTGGTCCTAACCGAGACTAATTCTAACTGTTTATGAGCATGCAAATCCTGGCTGGTTCTTTGCATGAAAATTGTGAGGTGCAGTGGTTCTGCTTGGCTCTTTCGACAGTCTATAAATACCTTGTGGTTGGTTTGATGGGTGCATCAGCAGAACATTTGCCAGAGGCAAAGTGAGCGAGGGGAGGTTGAAGCTTGTTGCAGTCAAGAGTGTGGATTTTGTATGTGAAGATTGGAGGGAACTAAAGAGTTGGCACTACTTTCTTTCTTGCTGCTTACTGTTTAGTTTCCTCCAATATTTCATGTCCAGATTGTCACTGAAACCTTCTTTCAGATCAAATGACTAAAATTGTTATGCAGAGTTTTATGTGAGGATTGGAGGGAATTAAACAAAACGAAACTTTTTGAGTATTCTTTTTGCTTAATTTTCTCCAATACCTCACGTTCAGCTTGTCATTCATGTATCATAATTTATTTATTTTAAATTTCTAGTTTCTTCCAATATCTTTATGCATGGCATTCATACATGATATCTGCGGTGCAAAATGCTCGGAAATTGATGTAATGTGTGGTATGTGGATGTGAGAATTGGAGGAAACCAAAGAGATTGATGTTTGAAATGCATGGTGCTTTCTCTCTGGTTTTCTCCAATATCTCATATTCAGTTCCCATTGAAGGAGATGGTACTCCGAAGGAAGTGATTTTGAAGAGGTTGGGAGATGATTGCTTTATGGTTTTTATACTATTATTATACTGGGCTCTAGGTATTTTTATCCAATAAAACTATTTAATATAAACATTCGATTCCTTTAGTGGTTTAAATTAATATTAATAATATTTTTTTATTACTAAAATTTAATGACATTTCTCTCTCATTTTTCAACTAAGAACTAAAAATACAAAAAAAATACATTTATACTAAAATTAAATTTAAAAAATTGAACACTAAAATCATATAATTTATATTATTTTTAAAGATGAAAGATAAAAATGTGTATTTTTGACATTCATGGCATGCTACTCATGCATAACACCCTTTTTATTTTGGTTTTTATTTTTCAATTCCACTATCAACTAAAAAATATGAAGTAATTGGCCTTAAATTAATATTATATTGTTAAAAATAAAATTTTAAGAATCAAAATAAATTATAAATAAAATAAATAATATCATTTATAATATTTGTGAGGAGGTGAATAATACCGGCTGCACAATGTTCACTTCACGTTTTTTATTTTTTAGTTCATATTATATTGATAAATGTAATATATTTTTATTTTATATATATATAAAACCTATTACATGAGTTTTATGCGATTCAAAGTGAGAATTTTAGATAATTCATTTATTTTTATCGAAAAATAAAACCCATATGGACTTCAAGCGATTAAAATCAAATGAAGGCTTGATATCATCATGTTAAAGATCTAATTGAGATTAAAAAAAGAAAGATTGGAGACTTTTATGAGGTATGCCCAAAATAAAAGAATGGGTCAACATCGATCCAAATAACCCGTTTAGTGAAACAGCCATAACCCGACCCGACTCCAACAAATGGCGGCTTTGACTAACAGAACACCTGACACCAACCTTCAATGGTCAAAACGGTTTGGGTTTTTGGAGGGAAAAGACCATCACCCGTCGCTTCAACGTCTATCATTCTTTTCACTCTCTTGTTGAATTGGTCTTCTTGTGCTACGATTTCTCTCTCAAAAAATGGATCAAAGCGAGAAGAGACTAGTTCAATCAGATTGGTACTCTCCAAGAAAATTACACGACAGCCTCGCTAAATACTAATTTCCAGTACAAATTTATCCTGATTTCCCCCTTTCACTCATTTTTATACCAGGAATTTCTTGAATTTGATTTTACTCTTTTCTTGTTCGTTGTTTTTGCATGTGTGTGGTAGGGGGATAAGTTTATACCAAACAGGAGTTTGATGAATCTTGATCAAGCCAACAGTTTGTTGACAAACAAAACCAAAGACGAGCATAATCCCAATTTCAGTACAAGTTTCTTGCAATTTATGCCATTTTAGGAAATGGGTTTCCTTTGTTTTGATTAAATTCATGATTGAGCGAAGATTATGAGGGATCTGGTCTTGAATCTCTAACGATCGCATCTTTCTGTCTGATCGGAGGTGTGCAGAAAGAAGTTGGAATTCTGGATGCACCAAAAATAAAAGATTACTACTATGTGAACCTTATGGATTTGGGAAAGAATAATGTTCTTGATGTCGCATTGGGTTCGACACTATACTTCGGAACGCAGAGAACAAAGATGCAAGGAAACTGGAGGAAGTTCAAGGTGGCAATGCCTACCCAACAAGTGTCGCCTGGTCTGAGAATGCCAGGAGTTCGTCAGTTGGATGCATGAAATCGAGACTTAAGCATCAAACCAAAGGAGACATTTTATATACAGCAGGCATTAACATCTTAACTTACTAGTCACCTACTATTAGTTATTTTGACTAAACAAAATGAATCAAGTTGTTAAAATAGATAGATTAATTGATTATTCAATATATAAATTTTGTTATTAAATTACTTAGATTTTTTAAAACATTGGCATATCTTTTTATAGATTTTCCTTCGAGCAGAAAAGACCCCTCAATGCACTGCACTTTTATATGAATTAATGATTCGAGGTTGAATTGTTCAGATATGTGTCCACGGCTACGGTGATCCCAGAGTTCAAAACCATCTACGCTTGTGGAAGTACCTTTCCATGGCTAAAGTAGGGGAAATAAATGACCATGAACGCAGATTCTCAGGTTTGGCAATTACCCAAGTCCTTAGCCCTTAAGTTGATATTACTGGAAAGTTTATTCTTGTAGCTAAACACTCCTTGGACCTTATCAATTGGCCGGCTTGTTACAGAGTTCTGATGGATTAACTGTTGTACCAGCTGGAGAGGATGAGACTCTACGCTTCAGGTAGATTTGTGGACCTCCCCCAGTTGAAAACTTTGCTTCAGATTTTGAAAACCTTCTGTCTTTGAAAACATCCCTGGTGAGATGATTCCAAGTGGAACAGTTGTTTCATTTTTGGTGCTATATTTTCTATTATTAAAGTAAGTTTTACATCAGTTTACTTGTATCTTAACTATAATTTTTAAAGCTAATAAATATATAAATTTTTAATAGTTTTAAGAAAATTTAAACTTTTTTATATTTTGATTATAATTTTTAAATTTAATTATCATGTAATTTCTAATAATCATGAAAAAAATTAAATTTTTAATTATTAAAAAACAAATCTAAAACCTAACCAGTAATCTACTTCTCTGGATTTTTTCTTTGGTGCAAGATATCTTGCTTCCTCCTCTTCAAGTAATTTATTTCGTTTGTGGGTTATATGTTGTGGTGAATTGGGATCGAAAAAACCCTAGAGGATCATCCTCGTTGAACCGTGAAAAGTTCTTTAAAAAAACACCTATAATCTGTATATTGGACCGATTCTTCCGATACCCTCTGTTGTTGATTATGTTATTGTTTCTCCAGTTGTTGTTTCTTACCAGCCACAATTTTTAATATCTGAAATGCTTTTGCTCTGTTTGTCGTGCTTCGCCAAATTGGAAAACAATTGGAACTTTTATTGAATCGGGAATGAATGAATTACAAAGAAAATTGGACTCAATTAAAAGGAAATGAATGTTTTTTTGAAAGATTCTAGGCACTAAAGGATTGGAACTTTTATTGAATCGGGAATGAAAGAATTACAAAGAAAATTGGACTCTATTAAAAGGAAATAAATGTTTTTTTGAAAGATTCTAGGCAGCAGTGGCGGAGCCAGGGAGGGGCTGGAAAAACCCCTCCCTTAATAATATTAATATATTTAATTTAAATAATAAAACAACTGATATTTTGGCCCCTTTTAATTCTATTTTCTGGTTCCGCCCCTGCTAGACATCAAAATGCTTTTACAAAAAAAATAAGATTTTTTTACATTAATATCAAAAATAAAAATTTTAAAATAAAATAATATTATTTTAATATATTTTAAAATAAAAAAATATTTAAAAAATTATAATCACCACCTACGTAACCATAACTTTTAGACATGAAAACTAACTGGTCAAAACATAATTTTAGTGTATTTATAATTGTTTTTTAAATAATTTTTTATGTTAAAATATATATTAACAATATTAAAATAATTTTAAAATAATAAAAGTATATTAATTTAAAATAAATAAAAAATTTAAATTTAAAATTTTTTAAAAAATATCTTTAAAATACAAAAATAAACTGAGATTGTTAGTACTTGTGTCAATACTTCATGGCTCAGCAAACATCCACCGTCCACGTGACCCTCCTCCTTACTGAAAAGATCCCAGCCATTCACTGTTACCTTCATCTCTTTCAACCAAGCTTCTCCCCGAGTTCTCGGCCAAAAGGTCCAGAGAAGGAGAGAGAGTAAGCTTGTTCCTTCCTCCTGGGTTAAACGGGTCCCTGATCTCTAGTATAAAACTGACGATGGGAATTTGTGTTTACTCAGGGACTGTACAGTTGACCCCCTCAAACGTATCAGATGGTTTCATGGCGATTTCTTCTCTGGTTACAAGGAGAAAGGCTTTGAATACACGTCAAATGGTTCATTAGCAGTTAACTGTGGTTCCTGCAGAAAAATCTCAGCATCATAGACAGCACTATATCCCCATGTCTATATTTTGCTAAGAAATCGAGATTAAATAATGAAAATAATGCATGAGCACATTCAAACAAAGAAGATCAGAACATTTATGTCACCACAACTTTTGCAGTGGTGATACTTACGTGCAGAATACTAACAGCGACAAAATTAATGATGAAAAAGCATACCTGTGTGATCTCTCCACTGAAAGTCTGCCCTGTTAAGAACATTGAGATAAGTGATGTTATAATCCCACCACGAAGCTCAATACTCGTATCACGGATGGTAGACCGCATTGCATTTAGCATGCTGCCATATGTAGTTGCATGTCCGCGCTCGATTGCTAGGATGAATGAGTAAGTCATTGCACCTGTTGAAGTGATCTTTGATAGAGCCTGTCCATATGGATTCGGATTGAATAAGTGAATTTCTGCTGTGAATTGGAAAATTCGTTCTTGATTTCTAGATTATAAAGTTCGCTATGTTTAGGGAAGTACCGAGGTGTCCGCGGAGGTTTGATCATCGTCGCAGCTACTGAAGGAGATCGCTTCCCCACCACTTGTTCCTTTCCATTCTCCTGATCGAGGACGATGATCTTCCCAAACATACTTCCCATTCCTACTTTCAATGATGCAAGCATTCATGAGCAAGAAAAGTACAAACAGTGTGGATGCAAATAGAATCAATTTACATTCAAGGGCTGCATTTGCTGCAAGTGCCCAAGGCTATGAACAAGGATTTATGCTTGTATTTCTCCACCACAAGGTTACGCTACATTTTTAGTGAGAAAAGAACGGGAAAATACAAACCTGTCCATTCTGCAGAGAAACGGTAAATCCAACACGGTGCCACTATGGCAAGCATCAATGATGGCATGAAGCTTAACACCATGGGAAAGAGGCTTGACAATTATTTCATTGATCTCATCATCAACGATCATTCCTTGAGTTTCAAAGTCTGTTGGACAAAGTGTTTCATCATAACCATCCAACTCATCTCCATTTTGATCCTTCTGCTGCGAACCATGACCGGAAAAATGAAACACTAATGAATCTCCAGGCTGACATCCTTGCACAAGCCATGACAATGCCAGTCTCATGTTGGATTTCGTTGGCTGCCTATAAGGATCAGTTTCTTCCTCTGCAAATTGATTATTAATCAGCATGAATAGTGATATCATCACAAAAAACTCCATGTTCCTTAAGCACTGGACGCGTTGGTCAAACTTAAACCTGAAATAACTCGAGTTTTTTCAGAACTTCTACTCGGCCGATTATAATCACAATTGCTTTAGCTACACAGGATTAGCACTGCTAGCAAAATGAACAGTGGGAGTCATATGCATATATTTGGAAGTTTATGATATGCTAAAAACAATCCAAAATAACTGAAATTAAGCTATCGATCCAGACAACACCAAGAAAGTGAAATCCAGAAAAGTCAATAATTAATTGGCGCGAAAATTTTTGTCAGCGATGTGAATCCATTATATGCCATTTGTGATGGAACCAATAATTTCAAGAAATAAAACATTCCAAGATGCTATATTAAAGCAGAGTTAATTAATAATTAATCAATTACCAAGATATTATAAATCAAACTATCAAGAAAGAAACACAAGAATGGAAGTAAATTTCGGAAAATTCTTACCAGTGAGAACGATGATGGAGGATTCAGGGAAGTTGAACCTATTAACCAACAAATACTTCATGCACACAACATCATTAATGCTCCCTTTGAGTTCATTCTTAGTATTCTTATAAGACACCCCACAAATAACAGCACGCTTTGTGCCATGGACAGCAGGTGGTGGACCAGGAGGTGCATGATTGTATGGTGATGGTCCTGATGGAACCACTTGAGAAGGATGATGTGGGGGGTGGTCATGGTCGTCTTGGCCTGATGAGGAGTAAGATAGAGCAGGCGGTGGAGGGGAAGAGCGAGAATCAGCTGCGAGGGTGGTGTCATGGCAGATAGCACAGCAGATGGAGTTGGCTCCTGGTGGAAGCTGCAAAGGGCTGCTGCAGTTTGAACAATTGAGTGACATGTACACGGTGGTCATTGTCTCTGAGAGACACAGCAATAGGATGAATGGTTGTGCTATGATTAATGTAATGTTGATGATAAAAGTCAAGCAAGCCTTCAAGGGATTTGGAAGGTGAGATGGAGGAGAGGGGCTTACGGGGAGGGTAGATGAAGTGGAAGGTGAGAATGAAAACTTTGACTTCCATGTACGGCTGGAAACGTGTGTTTCGTATAATGAAATTGTTAGCCATACTTAAATGACTTGCTATCTTCTTAATCATCATACTTCAATGGTTTTGATAGTATTTTATCTGGGAAAAGATGATTTTAATATTATAGTATGAGTTGATTAATTCATAAAGAAAGGGATTATAAAATTAATTTAAGTTTACTATTATTATACATGGGAAGGCTTTTTTCTTGGATGTTGAACGTTGAAGAATATCCCAATCATGAAAATTAAATAAAAATAAAAACAAGAGAAATTAGTAAAGTGGTTTTGGAACTCTGATTTGTCCATCCGGTTTTTGTAATAGTTCAAATTGTCCATCCAGTTTTTGTAATAGTTGTTTCTATTTGTGTGCAAGTGGTAATTTTTTAAAGTATTTTTTAATTAAATATATATATATATATAATTTTTATATTAGTAAAAAAGTTTCAAAAATATTAAAAAATTAATTTTAAGTAATTTTTAACTTTAAAATGTATTAAAATGATATTTTTATTTTATTTTTTAAAGGTTACTTTTCTATTAATATATTAAAATGATTTAAAAATATTAAAAAATAATTTGAAACAGTTTTTTTAAAAAACTTTTAATAAAAAATATGTTAAAATTCAATTTCAGATACCCTTGATGTGCTATCATGGTTAGGCAACCGTTGAAGTAATTATTAAACATAACTTGATTAGATGGTTTATCATGGTGATATAAGATGATAACTTTTCTTTTGACTATGATTAAATTTTAAATTAAATTAAATTAAAATTAAATTTATTTCATCATGTTAATACGGTGGATGTACAAAATATTTTGTGGTTAAATTCTGATTTGATTTTTAAAAAAAAATCAAGATAATATTATTTTATTTTATTTGTTTTTAATATTAAAATGATAGATATTTTAGATTATTATAAGTTGATCCTTAATTTATAATTCAAGTTATGAGCTTGACCAAGTTTAATAACTTTTTTTAAATATATTATTATTTAATTATATAATAATAAAAATAAATATTAAAAAAAAGCAACAAATAAGGTTATAAAGGAGAAACATATTT